TTTAAATCTTTAGCATGACTTTAGAGTAATGAAAGAAGTGAAGTTTTCTAATAATCTTAAAGCCTCTCATTCATAAATATGGCGCACTTCACACTCATTAACAAGACTCTACTAGATGTGGCTTATGAGACATCTTGTGACCATTCTAAATTCTGTGCTCTGATTATCAAATTTGTCATGGCCAAGGGGTATAACCTAGATGTAATATAACATGGCGTATAAAACGCCGAAGGACTCCATACAAGCCACTTAGTTTTCACAACTTAAGAAATAGAACAATAAAGAGTAAAACAATCATATTAAGTCCAAAACAGTTTTATAGAAAAGAAAAAGTCTAAACACATGTCTTAGCGTAGCCATCTATTACAGTCAAATGAAATTGGGCCAAGCCTATAACATCCTGTCCAAAAAAATAATATAAAAAGAGAATATAAAATGAGAGTAATTCGTCCTCTCGCACCATGAGGACTCAAAAAGCTTGGGGAAGAACCAAAGTCCAAGATCTAGCCACTAAAATGGGAATCCTGTCTGTCAAACCCTATATTTGGAGAAAATGTAGGCAAGAGTATACGTTAGTACAAAAATGCACTAAGTATGATAGTTATGCATAAAAACATTTAAAATATTCTAAATGGGACATTTCATTCCATAACATGCAATTGACCAAGTAAAACATTATATAAAAAAGTTAAAAAACATAAGTCATAATATCACGGTCAATGCAAGAGATATTCCTTTAGTAACCTTAGTGACTATAGTCTTGTTGTGGAAAATTATCCTTAATTAACATAGAGACCATTTGAGCTACAACATGATTACCTGATATCTCTAACACCAAAAAGGATTGTTCTACTTGCCTAAGGTAGAACCAAGAACTTCTAGCAGCATAAGTGGATCCACTAGTTAATGATCCTATGAGAGCACATAATTTATGGAATAGAGAGATTGATACTAAAAATCAAACTCTACTAACGGAAGAACTTCCATCTCATGAGACTTCTTCTAGAAACTCGACCTCTATTAGCGGGAGAGCGTCCATTTCAATGTCAATATCTACTTGGTGCTAACCATAACTTCCATGCAACAATATTTTCTTACTTATATATACTCATTATCCATGGAAAGGAATGTCATCTTGTCAATCTAAGCTACTTCATTAGGAAAGCTCTTATTCATGATTCAATTAGGTAAGAATATTCTTTCAGCCTAAGAATCCTTTATATGTGAGAAAACCTTTCACATCATGCTAGTATGTGTTTATGAGAATAACCTTTCACAACACAACATAAAATATCATGATTTGACACTTTACTCTCAAATCACCCTCTAACATTTGCATAGGTTTCAAAAGATCATGCATAAACTGATACTTTGCCCTTTCAAGATTCAAAGTTTACTTTCAATCACAAAATCTATAAAATGATTTAGATATGGATTTTGTCATAAATTCATGTAATTCTATTACTTCATGCTTATGCTTCAGATTATAAAATTCCTCTTTCATAATCAACAATCCACATCATATGATCACAATTTGGAAAAACATGGGGGTTTGCATGGATTTTCATAAGGAAAACATCATAAAAGCATTGTAAATCATCAACACATGCATATTTAAACATAATTCAATCATTAAGATAAATAATCAGAAGAATCCATGGCGATTGAAGAAAACACTAGCTAATTGGGAATTCTACCTTTTGAAATAGAGGAATTAGGGGACTCCATGAATGTAAGAGATTTCATGGATGAAACCTATCGTACCTCAAGTCCAATTGCTTATCTTCAAAGGAGTAATTGAGATCTTAGCTTTAAACCCTATGTTGAATAATTTTTCTTCTTCTTCAAGCTTTCTAGAGAGAGAATATTTGGGAGGAGATATGATTTCTTTTGTGGAATTTGGAATAATGAATTAAATGGGGTAAATTTTGGGGTAAAAAGGATTATATAGGGTTTCTAAATATAGGCAAAACAACATAGTATAGGAATTAATTAATTAATTAGGAAAAAACCTAATTGCCCCTGAAAATAACTGTCAAACAATGACCCACGACACCACTATCACAGATCGTGGATGGACCTACGGTCCGTCCTACACATCCGTGGTTAGGTGGTCTAGGACCTGATCTTTGGGGGTTCGAACCACGGCTCCTGGACCCCTACGGTCCGTAGGTCCAGTCGTGTTCCTAGGCTTGGACAACTTTTTGGGTGTCCAATCCACGAACCCCACCTACGGTACTTGGGTAAACCTACGGACCATCAGTGGTCCTCGTGGATGGCACCAGTATGTTTAGAATGTTAGTTCATTACCCTTTTTAGAATACAGGGTGTTACAATCACATATGTTTTTGGGTCATGAAAACAAACATGATTAGTCAAGTTATAATAAGCAAGAGAGTGTTTGTGGAAAAAGGGACAAAGGTTAACGAATTTAAGATATGGTGGTGGAATGATGATTGTTGCCAAAGTATTAGTGATATTTTATTTTTTATTGTTATATAAATTAGTTAAATTAACTTGGATGGATTTTCAACGGATTGAAAGATTGAAAGAGTGATGAAAAGTTTACGCAAAAGGTTTGATGATTTATTGACAATACTGTTAGATGAACATAAAGCAACCAGCTATGTAAGAAAAGAAAACCTGATTCTCTTGATGTATATATTGATTTTTTTCACTCTTAGTTCGTAATTATGTTTTTGCCTTAATATTCTAGATTGTTTTATATTTTTGTTTTGATATATCCAAAAATCTATTTAAATATTTTTGTAAAGGAAATATACTAGTTAATTTACTTTTCATAGCTATAGTTTGTTATAATTACATTCATGACTAACATTATATATTAATTACGTGGGCTGACTTTGAGTTTGTATAATTAGCTACGTTTGTATATGTATGATTCGCCAGAATATACAAATACATATGTATAATCTAACCGATATACATATATAATTTAGTTCTCTCCCACTCTCTGCCCTTTCTCGCTCGCCTCTCTCCTCCCTCACCCAATCTCGCTCGCCTCTCTCCTTCCTCTCCCAATCTCACTTCCCATATATACAATGCATATGTATAATATACAGTTATCTAATCAATATACAAATTCAAGTCACCTCTCTCCCACTCTCTCCCTATCTCTCTCGCCACTCGCCTCCTTCTCCCAATCTTGCTTGCCTTTCTCCTCCCGCTCCCAATCTCGCTCGCCTCTCTCCTCCCTTTCCCAATTGTGCTTGACATATATACAAATACACACACACACACAATATATATATATATATATATATATATATATATATATATATATGAAAGTTCCACTTTTTAAAATGCCTTTAAGTCTAATTATTCTTCATAATTAATTCATTTATTATAAAGATATTTTAATAATTAAGTGACAAATCTCTTATTTATATATTTAAATATATACATATCCAAATCATTTTTGGGGGGAAATTTGAGATTTTATCTCTTGATTCAAATCATGAATTGAAACTGCATGCCAAACATCTACTAAGACACTTAGCGATCGTTTGATAGTTCATTAAAGTTATACAAGTATAAGTTATGAGTGAAATTATGTATTATTTTGTGCAGATATTAGTTATGCAATGATTAATTATGCATAAATTAGTTATTCCAGTTTCTATAGATGCATAAAACAATACATAAATTCTCTCATAACTTAAACATGAATTAGTAATGCAGGTTTCTAAATCGTCAATTAAATATTGTATTAATTCTATATAAATAACTTGCCTCCTTTTTATCTACCAAACGTCGTATAAGTTGTATGAAAAATAATATATGGATAAGCTAGATTTATTTTACTACCAAATGTCCCTACTAAATAGTCGTTTGATAGAGTGTACTAGAAAAACAATGCATTCATTAACTTTGTTTTTTGTTAATACCTTATTTAGCACATTTTTATACATAGTATTGTGTATTGGGGGTACATATTACTAATATCATTAAAAAAATCATATTATTAGTATTAGTGATGGAAAGGGAAAAAGGTGTGAAATATATTCGAATTTGATCGAAATTATTGTTATGATATCAAATTTAAAAAAATAAAATCTTTTACTTTCTGCACTATTTAATAATGTATTTTAAAGGTATATGTGTATCCATGTGAACATAAGAAAATATTGTATAATTATAAATAGTACTATAACCATCTAAGCACATATATACCTTTAAAATAGGGTATTAGATAATTCGAGAGGGAGGGGGGGGGGGGGAAGAGATCCTCCATAAAGTTTGGTATAATAACAAAAATTTATATCAAAATTCAAATATGTTTCTCCCCGCCCTGGAATCACTTCACTCCCAACCAACAAGCTTCAAACTAGAGGTCGCCAAGCCCGTCATCTTTCAATAATTCTAGACTTCTCACACTATTTTCCTTAATGGAAACAAAGAGCTTAAACACCTACATAAGATTGATCAATGACATAACTATCCCTCAAATCCTTTCCATTTACCTAAGCTAAATAGTGTGGAGGGTATTCTTGTAAATAATTTTTTTAAATTACCCCATCTGTCACAATTTATGTAACACTTTTCATTTTTCGGAGCCAAACAATTTAAGTTTGATCGAAAATTTGTGCATGAAATTTTAAATTTATATATTTGTAACTAAGTAAAAAATAGTATAAGTCATATTAAGTAATAATTCAAAATATTTGAAATATCTATGAAAAATTTAAATCAAAGATCGACTTTTTTTAATCTTGAAATCTGAAAAGTAATACATATAATAAAACGGAAGGAGTAAAAGTTATGCAAGATTTATTATTATTTTAGTGTATCAAGTTAAACAATATTATATGAAATAATATTAATATAATTAACACTAGCCTTATTAACACACTATATTTAATATTATTTTTAATACACTCTACCAAACAATCGGGACGAAGTAATAAGGTGTGGAGTCTAGAAGATAGACCCCACCAAATGGGGTATGCAAGGACAGAAGAGTAATGTGTCCTGGAAAACTAAAACAAAACCAGAGACCAAATACAGAAGACTAACTGGAAAAAGCTAAACATTTCATTCATTTACTTCCTTTTTCTCTTCTCCTCTCTGCTTTTATCTCTTTAAACGTCGTCGTTTCTCCACCGTTGCTCCTACTCAGACTTCCTTTTTACAGCTTTCCGGTCGATCGGCTTGTTTTCGGAACTTATACCGTACCATATCTCAAGATAATCAAAGTCAAGTCTACTCGATCCAGGTTATTTTACTCTTTTTTCTGTAATTTTATCCTTAGATCACCTAATTTGTTGATTTTGTGGGGTTATGTGTTAATTTTCAGCTGTAAATTCTATAGCTTTGTTGTTGCTTCAGTTATCTGACTTGTTTTCTTTCAAGCCTGAGCTTCAAATCGGAAACGCGTTTTTGTTGTAAATTACCATTAAAACCTTTCATCTGTTGGGGGAGATAAGGGGAATGGAACTTCTTACTATTGGGTCGGTCTGTCTATATTTTTTTTCTCAACAAATTTACTTGTTCTTTCAGTTAATTTTTTCAGATGTTTCAGGCTTTGAAGATTTTTCTGCATGTAACTCAAAGAAAGTTCTTACTCAGAAATCTTAGTAGCAAAAAATTGGTTCAACAAGGGCTTTTTGCCATTTCTATCCTTGCTGCTCCATTAAAGCATATACTCATTAATTACATTTACTGATTTAATATTATTTAGTCATTTAGCTAATTTGAATGAATAAAATGAACTGAAAGTTGAGGACAATTTTCCTTTGAACAATATCTTGTCTGTTAGTGAAGACCAAAGAACTTTTCTTCTGTGTGTTCATTTTGAATTTAATTTTGGTTTAGTTATTATCTTGTCTATGTTTATTGTGTTTTGATAGTTAATGTTTTTTTTCTACAGGATTGTGGATTGTGAAAGTTTGACTTACAAATCCTCATGCCAAAGAACCTATAGTTTTTTTTCTACAGTTGCTTTGAGGGGAAAATGCTGGAGGCTCCAAAGTTTGCGGGACTTATAGACTTAAATGAGAACCATGATCATTATGGTCTCACACAAAATTTTTACCATAAGCTTGGTGAAGGGTCAAATATGTCAATCGACAGTTATGGGAGCTTGCAGATGAGCAATGGTGGAGGTTCAGTTGCAATGTCGATGGATAATAGTAGTGTTGGATCAAATGATTCACATACTCGTATTTTAAATCATCAGGGTCTCAAGCGTGTCCACAATAACTATCCCGATGCAGCTAGTGTAAATAAGGGCAAAACTTCTCATGGGTTGAGCGATGATGCCCTAGCTAAAGCGTTGATGGATCCCCGATTTCCTACCAATGGGCTTGAGAATTATGATGAGTGGACAATTGATTTGAGGAAGCTCAACATGGGGCCAGCTTTTGCTCAAGGGGCTTTTGGTAAACTGTACAAGGGAACTTACAATGGTGAGGATGTTGCTATCAAGCTTCTAGAGAGGCCAGAGAATGATCTTGAGAGGGCTCACTTGATGGAGCAACAGTTTCAGCAGGAAGTTATGATGTTGGCAAGGTTGAAACATCCAAATATTGTTCGGTTTATTGGTGCATGCCGTAAACCCATGGTGTGGTGTATTGTCACTGAATATGCTAAAGGAGGGTCAGTTCGTCAGTTTCTAGCTAGGCGACAAAATCGATCTGTGCCCTTGAAGTTAGCCGTGAAGCAGGCCTTGGATGTGGCAAGGGGTATGGAATATGTGCATGGCCTGAATCTGATACATCGTGACCTGAAATCTGACAATTTATTAATTTCTGCTGATAAATCAATCAAGATTGCGGACTTTGGGGTTGCTCGTATTGAGGTGCAGACAGAAGGAATGACACCAGAGACTGGAACATACCGCTGGATGGCCCCGTAAGCCTCTAACCCTTTAGCAACTTTATTAGATATGATTGTCTTATTTACTGTTACCTTTCTCAAAAAAAATAAGAAGTGATTTTCTTGGTCTAGCCTGTTCTTTTGGCAAAACCATAATACAAAGCTTTTGCTTTTATTTTTCTTTTCAAAATAATAAATATCAGCCATAACACAGAGCTGCTTCGGCTGTTCCATAGATTCTTTCATGGTTTCAGTTCATTCTTTTTGTAAAACATTCAAATGTTTTGTATACAGTACGCTTCTTATCATTCGTTCTGCTGAGGGTCTATTGGAAACCACGTATCTACCTTCTCAAGGTAGGGGTAAGGTCCACGTACACTCAACCCTCTTAGACCCCCCCCCCCCCCCCAAAAAAAAAAAAAAAAAAAAACACCTGTGAGAACACACTGGGTTCATTGTTGTTTTACATACTTGTGGTTGCAATGCAATTGTCTTCAAATTATCAAAGAAAATAGAGAAATGGCAGCAATAAGATATGTTTATTTTCCAGCATGATATTTGGCTGAACATTTCTTTGCACTATATCTTCTGTTTAATGATATAAATATACTACCACTGCATTGCCTAAAGATAGATTTACAGTGAAAAAGTGATGGGTTTAATTGTTTTCTTGATGATCGAGAAACCTGTCGGGAACCAACTGAAGCTCTTGAAACTTGGGGATCGTGGACTCGCCCCGCCTCGCGCCTCTTCCCTCAAACCTTTGGACCGATGGAGCTTGCGAAACTTGGGAATGATGGGCCCATCCTCCACCCTCTTAAAATTTTCCTGGAGCCAACCGGAGCTTTTGAAACTTAGGGATGATGGACTCATGGACCCATCCTTTTACCAGTTTACCTTCCTCCACCTTATATCGGCCTTAATTCACTTAGCGAAGTGTTTTTATTGTGACCTAAGATGCAAATTCCTCACCCTTTGCCAATTGAGCTAACCCCTCGGGCAAAATATGATGGGTTTAAGTACTCTATAACCTTTTGAAAACCCAGATTGATTGTGTCTAATATTCCTTTTGTATGCCTGTTATTGCTAAGAGAGAGAGAGAGAAGTTGTTTCTTCTGGTCAATCCTTAAACTTCGTTATTTGTGCCTCTTGCTAGAAGTATAAAAAAACTCCTCCTTTTGTGGGTTTTAGTGTGCTTAATTCAGTCTAACTCATGAAATTTGTTTTCAGGATGTGTAGAGATGAACCGTAGTTCACTCTCATGTGCTTTTAAGGAATGTTCTAGTTAGATCAGTATACAGAAACTCATCATCTGTCACCTTCGTTTTAAACTTTTTAAGGGTTAAAGTTAATTAAATATTTTTTGGCTTCATCATATATTTGTCTCTCATCTTCTATTCCCTTGTCTGCCATTCTAGGATCTCACTGGTAATAAATTGTTCATGACGCTCGTTCCAAGTAACAGTAATCATACTGAGAAGTGTTAACTATTTCTGTTTGATAGTTGTAGGCACTTCAGATTAAGTGGTTCAACTTATTTTTTCGGAGTGTCATCTCTTATTCTTAACTTAAATTCAACAGAATTAGCTCCAAGACTAGTCTTTCTTTTTATAATGTTGTTTCCAGGCCTAGTGCGCACCTCGGGTATTCACGAGGCACTTGCTACTACCGCCAACATGGGTACCAGATAACTTGGTCTACCAAGGCTTGGACAGATATGATTTTGTCTAAACCATGGTCGCGCCTCTTCATTGACCACTAGGTCACACCTTGTGCTCCAATATTAGTCTTTTCTCCTTGCCTTATTTCAAAGGATAAAAGTAAGAAGAGTTGTTATTCTAATAGAAATCATTTTTTAAATCCTTTGAAATGAAGATTGGTGTAAGTTATAGAGCATTGGGTAGTAATATAGCTTTGGATTGCATAGTTGTTATCCTAATTGAAATGATTTTTTATAAATCGTTTGAAATGAAAGTTAAGGCACCCTTCTCCTAGTAGAAGGGTTATTATCTTGCCCTTTTATCCCCAGAACTCAGGAATACCTTTTTCTATGCCCCTCTCACATTTATCAGAAAATTCTTTTTTTTTTGGTGCAGTTCAGTTAAGGTAACCCACCTTTACAAACATTGTAATTGCACCACATGAGTGTTATTTTTTATTTTTTTTTGGAGGGAGGGGGGAATGAGTTTTATTTGAATATAAAAGAATGTGTTTGAAACTTCCTGACTTAAAGGAGACATCTGCAGACTGCACTACAAGGTCTTCCTCCCCTTGCTTTGGTGCCCTGCTACTTTTTGAACAGTTCCTGAAGTGTTGCCTCTTGGCTCTTAGTAATGGGCTCAAATCTTATTGTTGGATAAGTATCCTGCTCTTTTTGAGGTCCCTTGGTTAAGTTTCTTAGGTTTGGTACGTTTTTGTGATCTCATTATAGTAGTACATTTAATGAGGAGAATAATGAAAGATCTTTTCTTCAAAGAAGTGTCAGGTTTTTAGATCTCTCTTGGAGAAGTATGAAAGAAAAGTGCATGCGTTAAATTTTCTAAAGGATTTAGATAGGCTGATATAGCATGTGTACAGTCACATGAAAAACAAACAAGAATATTGAAGGTACAAATTCACATATGTAAGAATATCATAACTTTGTCTACTAAGAAGTTATACTTCTGTATGTATGGGTAAACTGTAGGTCATTGTGCCAATCATTGCATTTGCATACTTGATAGCTTAAGCAGTTGTCAGATAAACTTTATAATCATGTGATTAAAACAGAAAGAACAAGCAAAATTACCAATGCCCCATTGATAATTGCAGCAATAGTTCTAATGACAAAAACAAAATGTTCATTTCAATTTAGGCCTGAATAGAGCATGGTGGTTGCAAATCCATATAGCCAGACCCAACTTTTGGTTGTGGTCAAGCTAGTTGTTTGATTGATTATTTATTGCATCACTACTACTTGGGTGCCTTTTCAATCGGAAACTTGATCAACATGTTGCTACATTTTAACAAACCAGAAGATATCTGAACTTATCAATGGTTTAGAGCCCTTAGAAATTATTCATGTTAGCCTTTACAAAAGTTCTTTTAAAAAGGTGTTCCTTATTATTATTTTCTTTCTTGGGCTTGATATGGCAGTTAGGATGTGTACCTTGAGTTAGATGAGCAATCCAGGATGAAAAGAAATTGAAAGATAGAGTTATATCCATTTCCATCGGCTGGAGATCCATTACATAATTAAGCTTCAAGAAGAGTATCGGTGGATATATCTCTAGGATACAATTGTTTTAATTAGTTTCCACGGTCTAGCTTTCAACACAATATTAGAGATGAAACTTGTCTTGGGAGATGAAATTACATTTTTTTTAAATGCTAAGGGGATTGGAGATTAATTGTGCAGTTGTTAGAGAAGTATGAGAAATGAAGCTTTTTATTTCCAATTGGACAACCTTTTTCTGACATTTAGTCGAAGAAGATTGTGTTTATCGGTGCCAATAAGACACTGTCCAAATGCCTGTATTGTGTTTGCATTTGTCAAAGAAATATGACAGATGAAATTTTTCATTTTCAATTGGACAATCTTTTCCAACATTTAGTTGAAGAAGATAGTATTTGTGGGTGAATATAAGACACTGTCAGAATGCTTGTAATAGGTATGGACGTATCTAGTGGCTCTGGTGATTTTTAAGTGTGCTGTTACAGTTGAGATGGACCACTTTGCTGTGATGGCACAAGATTTTTGAATGCAATTCATCCCAGTGCGAGGATTGAGTAGTGTGTTGATGAGTAGCATGAATGACTTGAGGAAAATAGATGGGAACTTGCCTAGTACCAAAGTTGATGCAATAGAAGTTGTCCCAGTTGCAATCTTCATGTCAAACAAGGCTTGTAGCTTGGCATGTGCAGCAACTCTTAGAAATCACATCCAATTATAATATATTCACAAATTGATTTTAGTTAGGTTATTTAGAAAGGGAAACAACCTGTCACATTTCCCCGGAAAATCTATCTATTCACATTTTAGCAAAAAAAAATTGGCAGTATTGATATCTTAGCAATACTTTCTGAATGGCATGTGTGTTGCTTCTTCTTGCAATATGTATTCATTATTCCCGTTGCAAAAGAGCAATACACTGCTCCTCGTGGTTTTGCATGTGTGGGGTGTTGTGGGCTACTTGAGAGCATTTTTACTGTGTTTTGCAGGGAGATGATCCAGCACCGACCCTACACACAGAAAGTTGATGTTTATAGTTTTGGCATTGTTCTGTGGGAGCTTCTAACGGGGATGCTTCCCTTCCAGAACATGACTGCTGTGCAGGCAGCTTTTGCAGTCGTCAACAAAGGTGTCCGTCCAACCATCCCCAATGATTGTTTACCTGTACTAGGTGAAATCATGACTCGCTGCTGGGATGGGAACCCTGACAATAGACCACCCTTCTCCCAGGTGGTCAGAATGCTCGAGGCTGCAGAAATAGAAATCCTGACAACAGTCAGAAAGGCCCGCTTCAGGTGCTGCATCAGTCAACCCATGACTACAGATTGATATGGAAACAGAAACTGTAGGCAGTAAAGGATTTGGGAACGAGTGATTCCAAAGTCTGGCATGTGTATGTATCTATGAGGCATAATTTCTTTATTCAGATAGAAAAAAGGGGAGAAAGTTGTGACAAGGAACTGTTTGATTTTGTGTTGTATCTTCTTTTGTTTTCCTTTTCTTCTTGAATTTAAGATTCTGATTAGTGATAATAGAATAGTAAGTGTATTTATACATCTCTGTATTTTATTGTACTTTATCAGGTGCATGCAGATCCACCTTTTGTATCTCTGATGCTTTATTTTATTATTATGCAGATTGCAGAAAATGTGGTGGGGTAGGTTTCTTCTAAACCTAATAATATATAGAAATGAGATAAATTGACCTTCAGGAAGACGTGTGTGTGGGGTATACTAATACCAAACATCATGCTTTCAACTGTTTTTGGTTGAATCTTAAATGATTTAGCTGCATATGAGAGGATGTTTCATAAAATCCAATCTTACACAGGTAACTGAAAGTGATACAAACATATTTATCATTTCCAATGTGGAGAGAAAACTTCTATACAAGTAGAATGAAAGAAGTCCAAACTTTAGACATCCTGAGTATCAATTAGTTCCCTACCCTTTGTCTCTACTGATAAGAGCATAACACTGACTGCTGATAAAGCTAGAACTGCTTCGAAACATGCGATTGCAGCTGTCTGATGACACCCTCTTAGCAGATGCACCACCACTATAGGAGAAATCATAGGCCCTATTCTTCCCACAGAATTTGCAACTCCAATACCAGTTGACCTTACAGACGTTGGGTATACCTGCATACAAGACATCAAAATGAGATAGTTGTTTGCTAACATTTCCACTCTTATTTCAAATTCAATACATGCATCTAGCTTGAGAATCAGGTGGTTCCACTCTACCTGTTGAACGCCTAAGAAAGACTGGAAAGCTTTAAACTTCTTCAAAGAAATGGAACATAATATTCAAGTCTAACTTTCTTATCTATGCATCAAGTTTGACTGGATGGAAACAGGAATGAGTATTCACGATAGTTACCTCTCGACAATAGACACCCACAATGACGAAGCTTCCAGAAATGAAAGTACGAGCACCAAATAATAAGCCAGTAGTCAAAGCAGGGAGTTGAGGTGCAAGAAGCGGTAAAAGGAACAGGAAGCTTAAACCGCACATAAGTGCCACACTGAATTTTCGACCAATTGTATCCACCATTATAGCTGCTAAAATAGTTCCAGGGATCTCTGAGAGACCAAAATAGAACGACTTTTAGATTTTAGAACATGTAACCTGTTGACTAGAAGTAAAGAGAAAATTGTTTTACCGGCAAGACTGTTTATGAGCACATTAGTGTAAAGGCTCTGATCATCATTCAGGTTCAAAGCAATTGACGAATGTTGACATTGTCCACTGCTAAACAGTGAGGTCAGCAATATAATGCCATAGTATGAGAAGGCATTTCCAATATAAACCACCCATATGAGGAGGGTATTTCTAAGTAACGCGGGGGACAAAAGCATTAGTAGTGATGAGAAGCCTGATTTAAGAATCGAGATTCTGCTTTTCCCAGGAGAAAGCAATTCCTCATGCTCCTCAGTCACTTGAGAAGATACGAGCTTTCCAGGGGGAAGTTGTGTCTTATTGACAACAGCTATTTTCTTCAGAATATCATAGGCGTCTCTCGTCCTACCTATGGCACATAGATATCTAGGAGATTCTACTGTAAATACAAATAACAGAAGTCCTGCAAATGATGGTATGGACGATAAAGCCAGTAACCATCTCCAACCCAATCTTGGCATAATCATCTGCAACATAAACAAAGAGAATGTCATATGTTTTCGATGTTCCTGATCCACCTACCTTAGTGAAATTCTTAATTTAATCATATGAACATGTATAACTTAGCAGCAACTTACAAAGTAGTTATACAATTTCAAAAGGAAGAGTATCCAGATATTATACTGAGTCACTTTCTTCCACAAACACATTGGGCTCAATATTTCTTAGTTATAACTGCATTTTTTTGTTAACATAAATTTCAAGATCTTGAACATGAGAATCCTACATTACATTGTCATTAGAAGCATACCTGATACAGAAAACATTCTTGCAGTAGAAATGAAAAAGGATTACTTTCAACAAATTAATTCCTTTTGCATTGGGGCAGCAGGGATGAAGTGGAGACTTACCTCTAGAGTCTTGTGTGATAAGAAGGTACCATCTAAACTTAAAGGTTAAGTTCTATAGAGTGGGGTGGAGTGCTGACAATTCAAGAACTCATAATCTTCGAAAAATGCATGTTGTGGAGATGCGGATATTGAGATGGATGTGTGGGCATATTAGGCTTGTTAGTAACTGTCGTAGTATCAGTAGTTCTGGCCATATGTTGTTTATTGTGTTCCAATTATCACACTACTTTCCTTATTAACTACTATGCTCTCTTCATTCTTTCGGAAACAGCAAGGAATTTCAGTGGGCATGCTGTTATTATTTGCCTTTCTCACATCTGGTAAAACATCACAGTGGCTTGAGTAACGGAAAATTGGGCGATTAAATGAAAGTTCAAGAAAATCATATTGAAAAACATTCATATTAGTAAAGCAAAAGAAAAGGATATACCAGTGCTAATAGAGCCTCAAGTATTGTTCCCATTGTCCAAAAACCTGCATACATCATCATCCACATTCCCCTATATTCTGAAGGAACAAATTCAAGAAACCAAGATCCATACACAAGTCCACCCCCAGCTCCAAATCCAACCATCATACGCACAGCAAGCAACCAATCATAATTCGGAGAAAAGATACTCAGTATTGCACATACAGCCGTCACTAACGCTATACTCAAAAGCCCCTTTCTGTTCATTAACAAACAAACAACACATAAATCAAAACCAAATTCTTCCCAAACATCGAAACACCATAAAATTATACATTACTTGCCTTCTTCCGTAAGAATCAGTGATAAACCCCCAAAATAAAGCTCCGATTAACATGCCAACGAAAACGACAGTACTCATAAGACTTTCTTGAGTAGGAGAAAGAGCCCATTGGGACCTTAAAGCAGGTCCAATAAAAGAGAGAATCATAGTCTCTACTGCTTCTGAAACAGAACCAAGACCTGCATAACACAATACCATATACTGAAATTTACCAATTCCAACTGATGTCAGAGCTTCTTCCATTGTGTACACAGAATCATCTTCAACTTGCTTTGTTGCCATTTTCAAGTGAAGTCAAATTGGCCAAAGTGAGAGGAAAATGTTAATCATCAACACTTCCCTTTTTTATATAAAAATATAGATATAGACAAGTGGAGTACCTAACATGGCTTACAAAATTATTAATTTTTTTGTTTGTTTGATAATAATTAAAAGAAATTCTATCATAATTATCACATTTTCTATTTAATTAGCATGTCTCATTTAACTCATTTCTACCTAATTTTTATAATTTACGAAGCTGTTGGATGCTCATTTTCTTTTTATAAATTGTGTTTAATCATTAAAGAGAGGATATAGAAAAGGTTATAGTGATAATTGATAATATTAGTACTATTAAACAATTAAGGGTAAAAGGATAAATATATCCTCAACTATCGTAAATGATATGTGTATATTCTCCATCATATTTTAGAGGGATATTGGTGCCTCTATCGTCCAAAAATTATACACTTTATACTAACGAACTTATACGTGTCATAATTTTATCCGCTGATCCGACATCGGATCGATAAATAAGATTATGTCACATGCCCTATTTAGTCTTCTGTTAGACTGAAGGGCATATATGTTCTAGTTTTTGGACGGCATGGTCACAATGTTCCTAAAGTATGACAAGGTGTATATGCATACCATTTACGTTATCTTTTTTCTTAACAATTAATTATGAAATTGTCAAGTATCTCGAGTTTTAATATGTAATTTTGTTTTAAATATATAATAATTTTTAAATTTTCGCCATTTTCACACAAGTTAGTAACAGCGGACGATATCATAAAACTTTTGATGATATTCATCATTAAGAAATAGATACGCAAATAATAATAAATATTTATTGTTTGCCTGGCCAATCACGTTTCATTTTCTTTTTTTTGGATCTACTCGAATAGACTTTCTAAGAAAAGCTTCGTGTTTTTTTTTTATAATGATTATATTATGATATATGGTATATATTTGGAAACTCATTATTATTCTTTGTACTACAAAAACACTATAGAATACTTTGGACACATTATTATAGAACCTGGATTAATGAGTAGGTATTTTTGGACGTGAATGCGAATTAGACCTTGGAATAATATTAGGTTAGCCTCTGTTTCAAAAAGTAATTTATTTTTCATATCATTATTATTCGCTTCCTTTCATTTTATATGAGTTAATTTGATTAGAACAATAAGTTAAAGAAAAAAACAAAT